GCTCTTATAGCTTCATTCGAATTTTGTCTTTTATCCCACACACTTAGGGAGGGCAATTCAGCAGCAGACTTCTTAGCCTCCTTGGGCCACTCTCCACCACACGGAACGACTTTCTTGCCGTCACCACCTTCAGGCATGGCTTCCTTATTATTTGGGGACGCTGTGAGAATTTTATTTCCCAGGATGCAGTTAGTTTCCTTTCTCTCCAGTTGTACCAAAAAAAAAAAAAATTAACTATTACTTATTACCCATTATTACTATTTATTACCCGTTACCTGTTATTCATTGTTTATCGATTTTTTTTTTTTTTTTGGTTTCGCATCCGGTATCCGGGCTTTACCCGATTAATCCGGACCAGACCCGCGTCGCGCACTTGAAAATGATGGGTGAGTTTTCCAACGAGGGCTGCTGCGTACACAAGGTCTCAAACTCGATATCTTGTTTAAGCTAGAACAAGCGGTATACTACTTGATCCAATCCCTCGTCAGTCTGTTTAGCGAATTTTAATCACGGTATCAAAAGGCCTATTACTCTTAAATGGCCAACCAGGCGGCAGGTAAAACCTAAAAGGCATTTTTTTTTCTGTGGAAAGAATATATGTAACTAAGGATGTTAATATCTTATTTTTAAATTCGGGATTTCGTCGCCACTCCATCCACCTCCCCTTCATTCCCTTTCCTTGATAATTTAATCAAAATGAAAAAAGAGGAGAACTTTCCTACCTTCTCCTTCTCTTCTCCCTCAACTCTCTCAATCAAAACCGAATCTTACATTATTAGAAAAAGCCAAGCAGCCATCATGGAGAGATCTTTCTGGTGAGGGTACAACGTACAGAGCTATATAAATTCTTCACAATCTCCTCCCACGCATAAGTATCCTTGCCCAAACACCCATCGGAGTATTCAATGGCAGATTCAATCGACGGTAATGTTGTGGCGGCTAAATCCTTTGCCAGGTTCGGGGTTACCCACATGTTTGGGGTGGTAGGTATACCCGTCACTTCGCTTGCCAACCGTGCGATGCAGCTTGGCATCCGCTTCGTCGCATTTCACAATGAACAGTCCGCGGGATACGCCGCCTCTGCTTATGGGTACCTGACCGGCCGTCCGGGGATACTCTTGACTGTTTCTGGACCTGGGTGCGTCCACGGGCTTGCCGGGCTATCCAATTCCATGGTCAATACCTGGCCCATGGTCATGATCTCCGGTTCTTGCGACCAGAATGACTTCGGCCGCGGTGATTTCCAGGAGCTTGATCAGATCGAAGCTGTGAAACCCTTTTCCAAATTCTCTGTTAAAGCCAAGAACATCAAGGAAATTCCCAATTGTGTTGCCCAGGTTCTCGATCGGGCAGTCTTAGGTCGGCCAGGGGGTTGTTATCTTGATTTGCCCACCGATGTGCTGCATCAAACGATATCGGAATCTGAAGTGGAAAGTTTGTTGTCTGAGGTTGAGAAAGGTAGGGAGTCTGAAAAACTAGCGAGTGTAGCAAGTTCTGAGATAGAGAAGGCAGTTGCGCTGCTTAGGAAGGCGGAGAGGCCACTGATTGTGTTTGGGAAAGGAGCAGCTTATGCACGAGCGGAGAATGAATTGAAGTGGCTAGTGGAGACTACTGGGATTCCATTTTTGCCCACTCCAATGGGGAAAGGATTGGTGCCTGATGATCATAGTTTGGCTGCTAGTGCTGCGAGGTCTCTTGCCATTGGTAAATGTGATGTTGCATTTGTTGTGGGTGCAAGGCTTAATTGGTTGCTGCATTTTGGGGAGCCACCGAAGTGGTCTAAGGATGTGAAGTTCATTTTGGTTGACATATCTGAGGAAGAAATTCAGTTGAGGAAACCCCATTTAGGATTGGTTGGTGATGCAAAAAAGGTATTGAAGTTGATTAATGAGGAGATTAAGGATGATCCTTTCAATTTGGGGAGCTCCCACCCATGGGTTGCGGCAATCTCAAAGAAGGTAAAAGAGAATGTCTCAAGAATGGAGGCTCAGCTGGCGCGTGATGTTGTTCCATTTAACTTTTTGACACCTTTAAGGATTATTAGAGACACCATTCTGGGGTTAGGAAGCCCTACTCCAGTGTTGGTTTCAGAAGGAGCAAATACTATGGATGTTGGAAGGTCTGTGCTGGTTCAGACAGAGCCAAGGACTAGGGTGGATGCAGGGACCTGGGGGACCATGGGAGTAGGTCTGGGTTATTGCATTGCAGCTGCAGTGGCTAATCCAGACCGGCTTGTGGTTGCAGTTGAAGGAGACTCTGGATTTGGATTCAGTGCCATGGAGGTTGAGGTATGTTGGCTTTACACAGAAACATGTTATTTCTATTATTATCCATGAATGCTTTAACTTTTAGATGAAGCTACTGTGGATTCTTAACAACTTTTTTATGATGACTTATAATCCTAGTATCCACTTCACTGAAAATATTCCTTTTAGCTGTATAAATAAGATTCCTATTCCATTTCCATTGCATTTCGTAGTTATCATTATATGATTATTTTATCAATAATCACAAACTCTATATGATTGAAACAATTTCTTAGTTTCAAACTGCAGTCTGCAAAGATTATAACAGCCCCTTCCTCGAGTCCCTCTGTCATAGATATGTTGATTTTTCTTGTTGATCACGATGAATTCATGATATTTAGGTTTTGTTTTAGTTTCTCTAAATCACAAACTTCTGTAATAGAAATTTTTTCTTTTGAGCAAATTGTACCTTGGAGCCAATATAGCTTGTGTAGGGATGAATTTCCTAGATTGTTCTGTATGTAAAATGGTTTTGCTCTAAAGAAAAACAACGAAAATGGAGAGCAGAACAACTGAATTATTTAATTGAAGTTTGAAATATGTACAAGTTTGGTATAATAGACAAAAACAAAAAGTAGCAACCATGTGAACAAAACAGTTTTTCCTAAACTTTTGCTACCTTTTCTAAAAGCATTGACCAAGAGTAACTAAGCATAAAGACAAACAAGAATTAAAACACAACAAAAAACTTGGAATAAACTGAACTAAATCAGTTTCATGAAGTCTAGTTCTTGAAATCTTCATTTCTTCAAAAAAACCCGTAAAGTATGTGCAAACTTGCTGTCACAGCTTCAACACTCCTCCTTGACAACAACATTGCACATGCCAAGCGTACCCCTCAAATATTGGAACCTTGCCTTTTGCAATCCTTTGGTAAAAATATCAGCTACCTGTTCCTCAGAACTGCAGTACAATAACTGAATTTCACCATCCTGAACTGCCTGTCTCAAAGTGTGGTATTTGATCTTTATATGCTTAGTTCTCTTGTGAAAAACAGGATTTGTGGCAATTGCCACTGCTGGCTGGTTATCACAAAGCATTTCAGTAGGCTTTGTTTGAGGATACTTAACATCAGCCAGTAATTTCCTTAACCAAACAGCCTGATTCACGGCTACTGCAGCAGAGATGTATTCTGCTTCAGCTATGGATTGTGCAACTGAATCTTGCTGTTTCTGTGATCCCCAACTAATCATGCCTGAGCCAAGAGAAAAACAATAACCTGAGGTACCCTTCATATCATCCTTAGATCCTGCCCAGTCCCTGTTAGAGTAGCCAATTAACTTGACATCACCAGTTCTTGCATATGTAATACCAAAATCCACAGTGCCCTTAACATACCTCAAAATTCATTCATTGCCTTGCAATTTGACATGGCAAATTTGTCAAGGATTTCAATTGCAAATTTTTTCTGGCAGATAAAAATACCATTGCAGGATTGAGTCACTTCCATACCAAGGAAATAAGACAGCTTTCCAAGGTCATTCATGTTGAACAAGCTCATTATCTCAGCTTTAAATTGACTCAAAGCAGCCTCACAACTTCCTGTCACAAGTATATTGTAAACATAAAGAGACACAATCACAAGTTTTTCACTTTTCTGCTTCACATACAGTGTTGCCTCACTCAAGCTTTTCTCAAATCCCAGCTTCAGCAAGTGGTCATTAATCTTACTATACCAGGCTCTTGGAGCCTGCTTTAATACATACAGTGCTTTCTTGAGCAAATAAACCTTTTCTTCTGCTCCTTTCTGTACGTAGCCCTGTGGTTGCTCAACATATATTTCTTCATTCAAAGTTCCATTTAAGAAGGCTGACTTGATATCTAAATGATAAACAACCCAGGCCGTCATGAGCAGCAAGAGCCAAGAGAAGTCTGATTGTTTCGAGTCTAACAACAGGAGCAAAGGTCTCATTGAAATCCACACTAGCAAGTTGAGACTAACCCTTTGCTACCAATCTAGCCTTATGTTTGTTAATACTACCATCAGAATTCAATTTGACCCTGAAAACCCACTTGACTCCAATGACACTTTTGTTTTTACGTCTATCAACTAGTTTCCAAGTGTCATTCAACTCAATCATCTTGGGGTCCTCCTCCATTGCAGTACTCCAATCTTTTGAATTTGCTGCTTCATTAAAATTTGAGGGCTCTTCATAAGCTATATTGCATCTGTCATAAATATCATCTAGAGACTTTGTCCCTCTAATAGCATAATCATCATCAAAGTCTTGTTCGGATAAGTTGTCTGCATTTTCCTCCAGATTGCTCAACTCGATAATGGAACCAACATCAGTGTCTGCTAATTGACTGTCACCATTCACTTCAGATTTTTTCCAGTCCCATGTAGCAT